ACCTTGATCTCTCAGAAGAAGTTTCTGGCAGTTCCTTCATTGATTCATTTGTGCCGGTCTCTTCATTATTTTTGAGGACGTTTTGGTTGGCTACCTTGAGTAATTTAGGCGCTTTAGGATGTGGCATTCCCTGTTGTTACCTCATCATCTGTCCGTAGTTTCGTTGGAAACGCTTTTGTTGGGTCCTAGTCATCTCATCGAAGGGTATTGCCCTTCTTGCATTGTACTGGAATGAATGTCATACATTTGGCCGGCAAGGTTGTGGCCTGAATGTTCTTACATTATCTGCTGGCCTGAACTGCCTCTCAAAAGGCGGTCCTCTATAGAATGATGTACCTCGCCCTCTACCAGGCTGAGTGTTTGGGAAGAAGGTAGGGCGATGAGGATGCTGCCATGTCCTTGGTTTCTCCATATTTCCATTCACTTCTCTTTTACACCTTGCACACAGGACGTCTTCGTCCTTTTTTGGTTCTTTCCCCTTGATTCGTTCAAAGACGTTGGGATGTGGTCTAGGATCCTCTTCTTCATCATCTACGACCAATTTGAATTTTGGCAACTTGTTTTTAAATCCAGATGTCACCATGTTTACTCCAAGTGGCTGTGGGAAAGGATTTTCGTCCACTGCCATCTTTTTCTTATCATCGAACGTAATTCGTCCTGATTCAATGGCATCCTGCAATACATGGCGGAACACCAAGCAATTGTTAGTCAAATGTGATCATGCATTATGCCACTTATAATATTTTTTACTCTTAATTTGTTCAGGGTTTGGCAATTTGTGCTTATCGCTCAATTTTATCTACTTATTCCTATATAATTTATCAAATATAAGGTCAGCTTTGGTTACGTCGAACGAGAACGTTCTAGCCTTTATGTTTCCATCTTTTATAGGCTCATCTTTACCCGATGGTCTAGGCTTGGCCATTATGGGACAAGTATATGTATCTCCTTTGACCAATTCGGCCAAACACATTTCGGCCTGATCGTATGACTCGTCTTCAATGGTATGAACGTCAAAATTTGAGTCTTTGTAATAAGTCCCTTTACTAGAATTTTTCATTTGTTCTTCCTCTCTTATCAGTCGCTCATACCTAATCACATTCGCACTCAACTGGAAAAGGTCAGGAAATTCCTTGTCCTGGAACTTCTTTTTTAAATCAAAGCTCAAGCAGCCCTGAGCGATCTTGACAAATTCTTTTTCGGGTAGAGGTACAAAACACTTGCTTCTTGCTGTCTTGAACCTTTGGAGAAAACTTTCTGCCCATTCATTTGGCATTTGACGTAGATTCACCAAATCAGTCAAAATGACTTCAGACTCAGTTTTATAAAACTGAGCGTGAAACAACTGTTCCAATTGTTGCATGATTGAACAGAGTTCGCTGGCAAGTTGATGAACCAGGAGAAAGCTACTCCTGTTAACGAACTAGGGAAAAGCCTCATTTTATGGTAATCGGTTACATCACCACTTTGCAATGTGAATCGCCCTATGTGTTTTAGAGTAGACACCTCTCCTAAACCGGTAAACAGTGAGAATTCTGGCACTTTGTACCCTCTAGGCCATGGATATGCTTGGTCTACCCAATCAGGATATGGCTTTGTGTACGACGGCCTAAAGACGGGACGCACCCCAAAAGCCATCTGATCCTGTACGATTTCCATAATCTGGTTCCTCAACATGACCTTGGGGTCATATGGAATTCCTACAGGTTGGTTAACCGGTTGATTTGCATGAGGCATGATGTTTGGTCCTTGATTGGCAACAAAATTACCATGATTAGGGCCATTACCATTAGCCTGAACATTTATTCCCTCATTAACACGTGGAATATTCTGTCCATTGTTTAGGACATTATCTCTCACATTTGGATTACCCCCCAAGTTAGGCATACCACTACCGTTGTTTTGATTTGGCATTGTAGTACCCCCTTGGTTTGAAGTAGAGGGACCAGAAAGCGGTTCTACCCCTTGATTCGGATTTAGGACCGAGGGATTATGTCCCACAATTGTCCTAGTTTGAAAGTGGTTTGTAAGAGGTATAGCCGGTTGACATATTTGGCCTACTAACTTATTCATTGTTTCGTTCAACGTCTTTAGTTGTTTGGCCATGTTGTCATAGTGTACGTTCCCATTTTGTGTAAATCTTTCTATATTATGAATACTTCGAAGATTTACCTGTTCGATGACGTCTTGCGTGAGTTCTCCAAGTAATACACGCATGGTTCGAGGACTCAACTCCGTTATTGGTTCGTAACGACTGTTACTGCTCTGATTCTGTCCATCTGTTCGTGGAGAGGCATGCTGTTCCTCATATCGCTCGATCACAGACTGGATTCCTCCCTGACTTGCTGCTTCCTTATCGGATCTCTGAGGCATATTGTTTCACCTTTTGTACTTTCAACACCTGACACCACTATCCTACTGGGCGTGCCAAATTGTTTCGCGCGGGTTAGTCGCTAACAATTAAAAAGGATCAGACGATTGTGTAAGGGACAAATCTCTTGAGACAAAGTCTCAAAAATGGGTGTTCTTTTATTGGCGATGACTTTACAATTGGAAATGAAAAACAACGTGCCTCCAAGGAGCGCAAGCACACGAGTTACTGAAAGAAAAGTGTTTAAGTCTAAAAACTAAGGAAATGAAAATTACATGTTCTCTGTTCGAGAGTTTTGGATTCGGTCCTTTGCTTCTATGTCCTTTCTCCCTTTTATACTTCATGGGCGATCTCTTTGTGATCAACAGCCCTAAAAACTGTTTGATCGTCCTATAACTGCCCACTTTCTTCGTAATAGCCAACTTGTCATGAAAACTATCTTTTTTAACTACTGCCATTACTCTTCATCGTTCAACCGCCTTCGATTGAATTCCTTGAATCGTGGAACGTGATAGGGCTGCTTTAATAACTGCACTTCTTGATAACCACGACGCTTTATGTTTGTTAAGACCTTGGGCGACTTGAAGGTTTGGGCGAGAATAGAGTAACAGTTCTGGGCGACTGTATAACACTCCATTCGCTCAGATTCTGGGCGACTTGCAAACTTGGGCGATGGCGCTACCGCGTTCTTGGGCCTCCCTATTTGGGCCTTTATCTTGATTCGTTTGATTTAGGCTTCGTTTTTTGGGTTATCTGATTTGGGGATCTTTCAATTGGGCTCCACTCCTTGGGCTGTTCGATTTGGGCTGAATTTTTATGTGTCAACAATAAGTGGAAAGCGATAACCTGAATTTTTGATAAATTGAGAAGATGAATATAAATCTTGAAATCTTGAGTCTCCTCAATAGTTTCTTAATGAATCTGCACTTGCGCTCTCTCTTCTTTGTTCAATACCAAGTTTGAATCTTCACTTGATTGAATTCTTACAAGTCCCCTTCAATTCTCTCATAAAAACAATGATTTCTCTTCCTTTGATGATGATAATTGATGAATATTGAAGTATATTATGTATAAGAGATATGTATGCAAGCCCCCTTCATGTATTCTCCTGTTGGGTATCTGTAGGGGTCGAAAATTGGTGAAAAATCATGCCCAAATTGATTTTCGAAAGAGTTGCAATCGAATAAGAAAAATTACACTCGCACATTGATTTTTTGTCTCTGTATAGCATTCAGTATTTTGATTATAACTTTGTCTCCCGATATCCGATTAAGTTGATTCAAAATGTGTTGGAAAGCTAACTAAAATGGCTACAATTTTTCTCGAGATAGGTATTTTTCATTTTGGACGTTTACTATGCCAAAAACTGGTTGTAATCTTTGACTAAAAATCTGGAAGATATATTATGTAGTTGAAAGTCGATTTATAGTAATATTTTGATGATATTCTATTTCTTTTTGACTTCTAATTGCATTCAGTTGACTCCCATCAATTTTTAAAATATCTCTTATGGTCCAATTCAACCATTAGATATTTGCAATTTGGTCCTCAACTTTGTACTTCTTCATTTTTCACTTCTTTCTTTCAATTTAACTTCCAACCATCGAATTTTACATAATAAATGAAATATACAATAAATTAGGATATAATTACTTTAAAAAACTATTAAATATCTATATTTTTAGGTCTACATACATACCTAATCCTATGTTTGCTCATAGAAAAATGCTACTTGTTCAACTCTTTTTTTTTTTTTTTTTAATGTTTTGTTTTTTTTTGTTTTTTGTTTTTTTTTTTTGATAACTCAGGTGTCACAGCTTAGCCGGACTAAATCCTGGACCTCTAGCCCCCGGCCCCTCAATGACTAGTGGAGGTAAATCGCAGGTTGTGCACTTGTTGATTCCCAGGTTCCCACATGGCTTTTACTCCTTCCCCAAAGGGACCCTCCTCCATGGTTATTACATCACCAAGCTGCTCCAACCCTTCCTCTGGTTATTACATCACTTGGCTGCTCCAACCAGGAATCAAACTCCCCACACTTGGTTCCAGAGCCCCCCAATGTGATTGTTCTGCCAACTTGGATGTGTTCAACTCTAGATATACGTTGGGTATACAACTCTCTCACATCTATCTTGCTTACAACCACGTCTTTCTCTTAAAATGAAAGATGAAGTAACTGAAGGTTGAATTTTGCATTTTTAGGTTTTGGCCCAAGGATCCTTTTGCATCTTTTCACATGCGCACGCTGAATTTTTTTGATGTCGACTTAATTTGGATTAAAAACAAAATGGAATCTTAAGAAATATTATACATCGAGAGAATTTCCAATTGCCTTAAAAATGTAAATGTTCGTTATTTCAGGCCAAATGGGCCTGCACCTTTTCAATTGTATGCTTAACTCTTAGGTCAATTCATGCTGATCTCTCTCCTTTTTCCTCTATATTGATGAATCCATTTTGAATCTACCTATTTTCTTGTAAAACATTTAATATGGATGTAATTCTTTTCCAGAAATGGTCCATTTTGATTGTATTATATTCTTTGTAGATATGGAAGGGGTGGAATATACTGAAATTTATGCATTGCATTAATAAAAATATAAGAAGCCATTTAGAGTAGAAAGACTCACTCTTAGGGTTATTTGACTGAAATCCGGGAAAATGTCCCGAGGGGCTACCTATAACATAACATTCCTGGAAGTTCCAGTCCAGATGAATGGAGCCCATATTCAATGTTGGGAGCTTCTCCCAACATTTAGGATCAACATTTTCTCTGAAGAAAATTTTAACTGTGTACAAAGGAAATAAGTTGATTATTTATCATCAGAATCTATGACCATCCAAGTAGTCTTCTGTCCAAACTTTCAGCTTTGTAGCCTCTCTGTTGATTGTAAATTTAGTTTAAAAAAAATTCATGGGTCAATTTTCATTGGTTAGGTGCAGCTGCAATAAATATCGTGTCTTGAATGAAATCAAAGTGGAAATGATTGGTTCACTTATGGTCCAGACTTGATTCAAAATTGATGAGGATGATGTTTTGTACATTATGGAGTATTATGTCTGATGAGGACATTCAGTCCTTTTATTTATTTTTAATTGAACCTTATTTAATTTTGGATCTTATTTCATTTTTTTGGATTTTATTTTGTTTTGGATTTTTATTGAGCTTGAATTGGCTCGGGTCTAGTCTCGTTAGGGTTTGCTTTAATATTGAAACCTATTTTGCGATGTAATTTATTTCAGTTGATGATTGAATAAAAATGATTGGTGGCTTGTGGCGAAATTCTTCTTCTGTTGAACATTCTTCTTCCCCATTCCCCCTCCTAATTTCCTCTTCGTTATAGGTCTATTTTCTTTCTCCATTAATTTTCCTGTGGGTGTTGCATCAATGTCCCATGTGCTCACTGCTACTATAATTGAGAATTGGAAACTCAGCTTAGTCTAGGTAAAATAAAAAATAAAAATTATGGGGCTGGGAATTTTTCTATTGTGATTCTGATGAAATTGATTGTTGATTGCTACATTGTATCACCATCCTTGATTTTTGGGAAGTCGACCCCAACACTCGTGCACACAAATAAAAGAAAACATATTACATATATACCTTTCCTTTTTAATGTGTCCATGCGATGGGAATCACGTTCTAGCTGATTCAAAAGTGAACCATTTTGTGAACAATGAATAGCAGAGGGTTCTGCATGGATATAGTACATACCTTCATGACCTGTGTGGTGGATTGATCTATAAGAGTCTTTGACAAGATTAAAAGGAAAAAAAAAAGGAAGTTAAAATGTGCCCCTCACGGGATGGCCGAGTTGGTGGAATAGGTGAGCGCGGAAATCTTTGATCACAAATTCGATTCCCCTACCAAAGGGTAACGACTGCGGATTTCCCCGTTATAAATAAAAAAAGGAAGTTAAAATATTATATAACGTCATGCACGGTGTCGTGCCCGCACAAGCAAGGCGGTCACTTATTTACAGAGAAGGAAATGCGAGGGCACGTCTTCAAGTTCTCGGCCCTGGAGAAATTCAAGGCAAACTTTTTTGGTCTTCTGAGAATGGATAGTCTACAGGTTCCTTATGTTGGGTACAAAAGTTGTGGAATCCATTTTTGCAATCAATGTGTGTCATGGACTGGGTTTAGTAATAGATATAGCAATGGTCTATGTTAGTCCTGTTTTTTAGATTCTCCTGTAAGTTTTGGTTATATTAAATAGACGTGATAAGGGATTGCCAAACCCCCCATAGTGTTTAGGTGGAGGCATAAAAATCCCTCCTAAGCCTCTATGCTGCCTTAACTAAAAAATATACAAGGTTTCCGAGTTTTGTAAAAATGAATTTTTGTTCTCTTCTATTATGATTGATGTTCCAAAGCAGTAAATATCTCGTGTTGATTATTTCAGATGAGAGAACAAAAATCTACGCTTCTTTAGGGGCAATTTGGTGTTAGTATCGGATTGGTGTCATTAGCGTATATGTGGAGCTCAAGAGACTGGTGGAGTGTATGGGGACACCAGGCAGGGCAGACCCACTGGTGGACCTGGTGGGTGACGTGACCCACCAGGTTTTTTTTAATTTTTTTACATGACCCACCAGTTTATATATATATATATATAATATGCAAAACGACACCCAATTCCCACGTGACCCATCCAACTCCCAATTCCATTAATTAACGAACATTGAAAATTGAAAACAGAAAAAAGAAAAAAAAGGGGTAAACCCATTAGCTCATTACAAACCAAACGGCAAAGTGCAAACACCAAAGTTTGAAAAGAAAATTGTTCATCTGCAAACTGCCATTCTGTCTTGCGCCACTGGTTGCCAACAATTGAATTTTGAAAGGAAAATCGTGCTCCACTAACTCAAAATTTCTGCGTCCGCCACTGACACTGGGGAACTAAAAATGGATGTGGCTAGTATAACTCTTGATGGATATCAAACGGGAAAAGCAGTGATTGAACGTGATTCATCACAATTTTCTCCACAGCTATCCATTTAACTCCCTAGTCAATGTCCATGATCGAAGACAGATTTTTCTCAGTAAAACTTCAAAGACAGTTTCCTTTGTTTGCATGCAAATCAATTTGATACTTTTTACGTTCAACTGTGTTGTGATCGTGTTTCAAAATGAGCAACGAATGGAGCCACGTGAGTCATTAATGGATACGGATTTTCTTGGAAACCCTTCTGTTTCGGTGAATCAAAAGCATTAAACAATTTACTTCATCTTAAGATCATCTAGTTGGACTGCAACGTAAGGGAGAAATTAAGATTCTAATTCATCATTTCACTAATGGGTATGTGTTGTACAAATATACAGCCTCCTCGAGGATACCCATCTTTTTGAATCAAATCTTTCCAAGATGATCGTTTCCAAGCATTTAGTGCCATGTTTTGTTACCTGACTACTGCGACCTCTAAAGGAAAAGAAACGTACTTAAAGGGCCCATAGAGAATAGCGCCTACGGACACCATCTATCAATCATTCCATCTCGATTTTCCCAAAAAAAAAGAAAAAGAAGCTTTATTCTTTTGCCAACGAATAAAATATTTAGCGTAAGTCCCCTCACATGTGAGGGACTATCAAACTTGGTGTATACAAGATATACACCAAGCCTAGCTCTTCATTCATTTCTTCAAATTTCAATTGCCTATAAGAAAGGAAATACATATGTTCTTTTTTTTTTCTTTTTTTTCTATAAGAGGTTGCTATTGTGTTTTGTGGACCAACTTAAACAAGCTCAATCACTAATCCATTTTAGGATTATGTTACTCGTACATAAAAATAGCACATAAGAGATTACATAAAATATTATAAAGAAAAAAAATTGGATGAAAAAGTTAATTATATTTTAAACTGACAAATAATAAAATAACATATAACATTATGTAAATAAAATTTGATATACAACGTCCTCCATTTTAATAGTAACTGCGTGGAATCCACCCGCTAACATATAGCTATGACAATGTAACTCGACCACAGAATCAGAATTTGGACAAAAAGCTTGTTCTTTTTACCTCGAAAAAACCTCAATGTGCAGTAGTTTATCTGGAAAAAGAAATACTATTAATCAATTAGGAGTAGCTCGTGTGGGTCTCGTCTGTGTGTGAGAAAAAGAGAAAGGGATAAGCTGGTCAGCACTTCCCATTCAGCGGCGGGATTAAGTGGCGCCGTGGTGGAGCAAATCAGCAGAGGCCACATCAATATCTATACAATCCCTTTGACAGATTCTGATTCTGTAACCTCTCCTCATTTGCTTTTTCCTGATACTTTTTAAGATAAACTCAAGATCCATCTTTTTCTCTACCCCTTTGACAGATTCCGTCTCATTTTTAACCATAATCTGCGCACTTATAAATTAGGTAGTCTTTATTTTATTTATGATCGATCACTTGTTTTCTTGATTCATGGCTGGATGTTTTGATATTCATTTCTTGTATTATGATGATGTGCTGCTCAGATATTGCTTGCTTTTGATTGTTTGATCCGATCTGTGGACAGATTTGTCGTTTGTACGTTCTTTGAAAATTCTCTCTTTTTATGGTTTGGGGGTGTTGAAATGGAATTTTCGTAATTTATGAGCACTTCAATTATTGGAGATTTCCTGATTTTGGGTTGATGTGAAGTTTCCTTTTCTGTTTATGCTCTCAGTATTACAGTTTAGTTTTATTGATGTTGAAAAAGATTGGACTTGGAAAAGGCTGTGAAGAAATTGAGGTGAGAGAGGGAGGGGAAACTTCGATAGTTCATGGGCAATACATGCCGTGGATCTTCCAAAAGCAAACAATTTCAGGGCTATGATCAGCCCGAAGAATATTCCAACTCCAAGCATGACGATACGACTGGCCGCAACAGTTCTGACGGTTACTCACCTACAACCTTCCCCTCCCAACACCTAGTTGCTCAAGAATTCTCCAGAGACAACCAACCAAACGACAAAAAAGACCCCAATTTACCACTTCTTAGTCCCAAGAAACATAGTAGTATGAACCGTGGAACTACCAACCAATCTTATTTTGTGTTGGGTCACAAGACTGCTAATATTCGCGATCTTTATACACTTGGGCGTAAGTTAGGACAAGGTCAATTTGGTACTACTTATTTGTGCACTGAGATTTCCACAGGCAATGAATATGCTTGTAAATCTATAACTAAGAGGAAGTTGATCTCCAAAGAAGATGTAGAGGATGTTAGGAGGGAGATTCAGATAATGCATCATCTGGCTGGCCACAAGAATATTGTCACCATCAAAGGGGCATATGAGGATCCTCTGTATGTTCACATTGTTATGGAGCTTTGTGCTGGGGGTGAATTGTTTGACCGCATCATTCATAGAGGGCACTACAGTGAGAGAAAGGCAGCTGAATTGACAAAGATTATTGTAGGGGTTGTTGAGGCTTGTCATTCCCTTGGGGTTATGCATAGAGATCTTAAACCGGAGAATTTCTTGTTGGTAAACAAGGATGATGATTTCTCTCTCAAAGCTATTGATTTTGGACTCTCTGTTTTCTTTAAGCCAGGTATAACAATTTTCCATTTTGCCTTACATTCTCTATTTACTTTGATGGCTCTATATAGTTCAGTTGTTTTGCGAGTGTGAGAATGGATCAAACTTGTCTTGTTGTTTTTCTAACTTCATAAATGACTTGCTGTTTTAGGTCAGATATTCACTGATGTGGTTGGAAGCCCTTATTATGTTGCACCTGAGGTACTTTTGAAGCATTATGGCCCAGCAGCAGATGTGTGGACGGCAGGAGTCATACTCTATATATTATTAAGTGGCGTGCCACCCTTTTGGGCTGGTAACTTGCTTCTCTATACCATATGCATATTCATTTGTCCAGGGTAAAATGATGACGATTCTACCGCTTATTGTTCAGAAACACAACAGGGGATATTTGATGCAGTCCTGAAGGGATTCATTGATTTTGATTCTGACCCATGGCCATTGATATCTGAGAGTGCTAAAGATCTAATTCGGAAGATGTTATGCATGCACCCTTCAGAGCGATTGACTGCTCATGAAGTATTATGTATGTTCACTTTTCCTGCACGGTTGGAGTTACTACTATTCGCCCTTTGATGTTGGATTCTTGAATTCCCTTTCAATTGCCTTTGTAATTTAAACATTAGCATCACGATTAATTCAGTTGATTTCAATTAAAAATTTCTTGAGTCTACGGAGCAAAGGTTCACTATTTGCATTAATATTGCGGCATTCATGAGCACTGAATATAAAGTACAATATTTAAGGATTTTGCTTTCCTGTCTTGAGACTACACCTCCATCTAGGTCCTCTGATGATTTATGAACAAAATGCTTATTCTATTTTAGTGGGAATTATTTTTACTTCTAAAATTTTGCTTTGACAATTATGAACTATGCAAAGGAATAGTGGAAAATGGCTGCAGTTTATGTTGTAATTGCACCAAGTTACTGTTGGAATACCTTATTTTTACACTCATTATTTGAAAGAAATGTCGAGAATGTGATTTAATAAATTTATCAATAGACATGTTGCTTAAATTAATCTGGTAATATTTTTTACTCAAGTTTGTTTGCAGGCCGTCCTTTGTTTCAGTTGTGCTAAGGTATCTGGTAATCATATCTTTTTTCTATCAAAATTTTTTAGGTCATCCTTGGATTTGCGAAAATGGTGTTGCTCCAGACAGGACACTGGATCCAGCCGTTCTTTCTCGTCTTAAACAGTTCTCTGCAATGAATAAATTAAAGAAGATGGCTTTACGGGTATGTAATAAGTGGAATCACCAGCCTTCTACTGTTGTGCTTCAAGCATTTGTTTTCCTACTCACAAGATACTTATGTATGCATCTCTTTGTGAGTGTGTGTGCATGCACCTTTAATAAAGGAGATAAAAATTGAATCATTCAGGAAACTGATGTTATAAAGCATTCTTATGCCTCCTCCAGGTAATAGCTGAAAGCTTGTCAGAAGAGGAGATTGCTGGGTTGAGAGAGATGTTTAAGGCCATGGACACTGATAATAGTGGGGCAATCACATTTGACGAACTTAAAGTTGGTTTAAGAAAATATGGATCCACCTTAAAGGATACTGAGATACGTGATCTGATGGATGCGGTATAACGACTTTTCCAGGATATATATCACGTTCTTTTGCCTGTTTTGAATGTGATTCTGTTTTTCTTTTCTTTTATGTGATTACACTTTCAGGTAACGCAGCCAAAAAGTGTACCTTTTTATATTTATTTTCTAGCAGTGTCTCCATTTTAGGATTAGAAAAGTGAAAGACGGATTAGAAGATAGAAGATTAAGAAGCTTTTTTGGCAGGAGTTTTTCCAGTTAAAAATGATTTTTTTTTTTTTTTTATGTGATTACACTTTCAGGTAACGCAGCCAAAAAGTGTACCTTTTTATATTTATTTTCTAGCAGTGTCTCCATTTTAGGATTAGAAAAGTGAAAGACGGATTAGAAGATAGAAGATTAAGAAGCTTTTTTGGCAGGAGTTTTTCCAGTTAAAAATGATTTTTTTTTTTTTTTTGGGAGGATGTGGCAGAAAAGTTGTGGATCTGGTTTAAATTGATTTTTGAGAAAAATGATTTTAGAAAAAGCTGTGCCAAACAAGCCTTAACAGGGTCCTCCTGGCTCTTTAGCAGTTGATCCTTCTGCTAAAATTTGCAGACAATAGAAGCTTTTAAATAATTTAGAAACATAGTGGTGGATCCCCCCTCAAAAAGAGGCTCGAACCCTGGAGACCTGGTAAGGTTTCGCTCTTACCATTTGAGCTTGGCCTTGGTCTTTAGCGGTGGGTACCTGCTCATAGAGAGACCGTATTTAACATTTTGAAACAGATGCTTAAGATCTCTCACTTCTATTGATCAATGCCTACAATCCTCGAACTGGGATTTCGTCAATGCTTTCTGCACACGCATGATCTCTTCAAAACTTTTAGCCCATCAAAGTTACTGAATCTGTGATTTGCAGGCTGATGTAGACAATAGTGGAACCATCGACTATGGAGAATTTGTAGCAGCAACAATTCACCTAAACAAACTAGAACGCGAGGAACATCTTTTGGCAGCATTCCAATATTTTGACAAGGATGGAAGTGGTTATATTACGGTTGATGAACTCCAGCAAGCTTGTGTAGAACATGGCATGACAAATGTCCCCCTTGAAGATATTATCAAAGAAGTTGATCAAGATAATGTAAGTCAGGATATTGAAGGAGAGATCTTGTTTCCATTGAATATATACACGATGGGTTGAAATTTCACTAGTTTTATCTTGAACTAACAAAATTTTCTCCCATGCAACATATATAATTTTTAAATAGCTTGGATATACTGTCTAAATTGTTGATCTGAAGCAAAAATCTAAAATTTTGTGTTATATTATACCTTGTGTACAACTTAGCCTCCATTTGGCTAATTTATAAATGGTTTTAAATAGGAATAGTTACAGGAATAGTAGCGGGTTCTAGAAAATGCGTGGATATTAAAGAGTACAAGTTATGAATGTGTGGTTGATATTAATGTTTGACTTTGACTAAACTTGTAAACCATTTATAAATTGCTCGCCAAACAACTGCATATGAACTTTGACCTCTATCCACTTGCTTTTTATGGCTTCAGGGTGTAACGATTCTGAATGATCATTAAGCTTACGAGTCACATTCCGGATATATTCTATTTAGAAAATAATTATCTCTCTGCTCTAATTTGTAGACCAGCGTATGATTTTCCAATGTAAATTTTCCAGAATTTCTTTACGTTTAAAAGATGTCATTCTTGAGGAACTGACGTTTTTGTAGCAACACTTGCATAGAAGTACCCAATTTGCTAAAACTGGGTAGTCAACGAAATCATTACTAGATTTTCTTCTTAATTTCTCTAAGTTTAGATATTTTGGGCTTTCTGTTTTCTTATACTGTTATCCATGCATTGTTAACAATCCAATGATGGATATTTTAGGATGGAAGGATAGATTATGGAGAATTTGTTGCTATGATGCAAAAGGGAAATGGTGGTATTGGTAGACGAACTATGCGGAACAGCTTGAATATAAGCATGCGAGACGCTCCGGGAGCTCTTTAGCTTTTTGATCTGCACGTTGTTTACAGGTAAATTCCAGCTTCATTTTAGAATTCCGTTCTTCAGTTCCAATGTAAGCATTAAAGTTTTCAAGGCTATGGGGATTCCTCTGTAATGAACAAAGCCTTACAGATGCATAGGATAAATAAATGTTTGATTATTCGAGGTTGCTTTGTAAAAAGGTGAGAGCACTTCGGATTTGGGGTGTGTGTGTGTGTGTGTTTTTTATTTTTTCTGGTTTCTTAGACAGTTTGGTCGACACCATATCCAGGATGTCTAGTGGATTGTTTGTGACAAATCTAGGATTTCTGTCATCTTTAGTTACTTGATGTGCGTCCTTTTATTCAGCCACTTGTGATTTGGATGTCTTGTGTAGGATAGAAATATGGAACATAAAAATAAATTACGAAAAATCATTGGCTAAAAGTTAATATACAACCACACTAAAATGGCTAAAAGTTAATGTACAACCACACTAAAATCTAATTCAGACTAAGTAGATAAGTAGAAAGATCTTTCATTTTCATGTGCATCATTGACATTTTCTGGAAAATCGTGTCAGAAACTCCCAAATGTTCTGTTGACATAATGGCAAAACTTCTTGTTTGTGCATCTTAAAACTTTGTCATAACGAAGAAAATGTTCTATTGTAACGGAAAAGTTTGTTCCTTGTAGGTGTACATGGAAGATGGCAAAGCATGTTCAGTGATAAGCGTCAAAGATACACGTTCAGATGCTCGCTAAATTTGATATTTGTTCCACGACACGTGTGTTGTAGAATGGAGATGTTAATGATTGAGTTATTGAGTCTTGCCTTTGGGTGGCAGTGTAAATGAAGAGGTGGTTGTTGGCTTTATTATTTGTGTCGATGTGAGCTATAAGAACCTAGAAGTGTGAATTGTTACAGTTAATTATTTCAAGCTGTTAAACTATTTTGTGGTTCTCATTCAGTTCAGACCTTGTATTTGAAGAATTGTTCGAGTTTCCTTTAAAGTCTTCGGTAATAAAGTTTTGACATCGAGTATTGTTCTGAAGTTAACCTTAGAATATACATGAAAGACCAACAGATGAGATTCACAAACACTTGATTGAGTTATAAAATTGGATACATTGACTTAATTCAACATATAAATTTTATATTACCTTGTGAATATGTAGTGCACACTTAGTTGCATTCAGATTGTCTGAGAGCTTGTACAATTTGTTAATATAGTCGCAACTCGCATGCAGTCTTCTTTCGTAATATGGACAAGATGCAGCCTAACCTGATGCTTCTTCGCTTGCAATTGCAATTTCCTGCTAGAAGAATCGCAGTAAATGTTAGTCCGACTGGGAACATCACAATGAGGGGCTGTACCCGACTAGGAACATCAGTTTTCAACATTGATGGCACGTTCATGGGGAAAAATTAGTCAATTTATCGGACACTTATTAATGAATGATTCAATGTGAGCGGAATTTGACTCTTTTTCAGGAATCGCAACTACCCAATGCAAAAAATTCTGTTCTAAGTAAATACTTAATGTTATATATCTTGGTTGACTCGAATAACCTGACATCCAATTCTAGTTAGCTAGACCAAGTTGTGCAATTTAGATAAAACCGAATCAAATCAAGAAAACAAGAAGCAAACAACTTGCCTTCAACTCTGCTTGGCTTGAAAAGATGCATTTTGAAGTGATGGTCCGCCCCTCATCCAATAGCCATCCAACTTCACAGAAAGTTTCCTCATTCTCTTCCTCTCTAAGTGAACACCACAGTTGCCTAGGGAGCAAGACCAGGCTGCGCTCATCTCTGACCGTCTGCCTTACACTTTCGTCCCTAAGTTGGAGGATGATCTTTGGACACAAATAATTGAAGAGTTCAAATTATAATTAAGCAGTTTAAGGCCATCATCATGATCAACCAAACACAATTCCATGGAGGAAATGAAAATAATGCCAAGGCCTTACGTTTTGAGAATTATTGAAGGTTGCAACAGCATTGAGGCCTTGCCAAACACCAGTAACTTGTGAAGGTTTCAAGGGTTGTGTGGCCGCAAATGCAGAATCGCGTATTGAACATCCACCTAGCTGATCTCCATTTCTGAAAGGACCGTACCATTGCTCAACAAAGACCTTAATATTCTGTAATTCCAACTTGGAGTCTTCAATTCGAATAACCTGAATAATCCTCACCCGCGATTCTTTATCCTGAGGATCAATTAAACAGTGCTCCAGCTCCAATAACTTGTCCAAACCATGATCAGCAACAGGCCAAACAGCTACATAACACCCACTAGATTGATATGCAAATGCCAAAACAGGGCTTTGCTCATTATTTGTAACGTTTCTTTCGTCAATGCTGTATCTTGTGGCAGCATCAGCTTCACAACCAACGGTGGGAAGTAGCTTAATGTTTTTGTACATGAGGGAAAACTCATGGGGTTGAGCCAAAGTAGGACACTGTGTTTGCCAGTCAAAAACCTTCACTTCCCATTCTCTATAAGCCTCCGGGACTACTGATTCGGGTAGCTCAATGGGTCTCCCTCCCTTCGTGAAATCTGCTCCAAACCCATCCCATTCACCCGACACATTTTTCATGAATTCTGTCCAACCTTTTATAATAATAAAAAGATAATTACTTTATCGCACCACCAATTAGACTGTACAAAGAGTTGAGCATAAAATCAGAGTAGATAGTAGCTAATACGTATAAGGTGTTGATAATACCAATATTGCATACCCAAGGACCTTTTCCTCGAGGACTCCCTACGGGCTCCGCCTCACTTTTCTACCAAATGTCCTCGAGATTTTTTTAGTCCTCAAGGATGTATCTCGAGGACTTTGCTCATACGAATATGAAAACTCACCCCCTATGATCCTCAAGAATATGTCCTCGGGTCATCGTTCATTAACAGATCTTCGAGACATATGTGCCCAACAAATGAACACCTAAACACCCAAGAACTCTATATCAACTCTTACACCACTAGTCAAACAGTTCCATTACGAGTAGAGCATTCCTCACAATCACAACTCCATTGGATAAGTACATCCAATGGGCACAGTCCTACTAGGAGTACACGATCCACCTCTATAA